TTAAATAGCATTTTAGTTGTTTAACAAAAAGTTGCAAAAAGTTTTTATTAGTGAAGAAACAATTGTAATTAAAGAAAATGCTTCTTGCATAAATTATAAGTAATTAGCAAACAGTCGATAAATCTTAAGATGCACGATTGCTTTCTAATGCACTTAGATGCATTGTCAGATTAGCTTAGATTAGATTAGACTAAATTAGACTAGATTAAATTTCCGAGTAATCAATTTATGAGTATTTGGTGAGAACTGTATAGCTTACTTTACTTATTTTTCACTATCAATTCTTGTTTTATCGTTTTTAAAATTTGAAATTACAAGTAGAATTTCCTATTTAACGCTTAAATTTTTAAAATGGGTGGAGCAGATTTTGAGATTTGAATTGATAAATACGAACTTAAATATAATATATCGCAAAGTTAATCGTCCTTTGTCAGCTTTGCTTCATTTCAAGCTTCTCTTCAAATAAATAAATGAATATATCATTTTAATACTTTTATTTTTGTATAAAATTGAACAATTTTTATCAAAAAAATTTTAATTTCAGTAATAATCATTATTATTATTTGATTTGTTCAATGCAATAATATTTAAATATGCTTTTAGTGCTAAAACATTGGTGTAAAATTGTTTTATTAATAAGGAAGATTTTCAATTTTTTATCCATCAAATTTTTATTGTAATTGATATTAGTCAGTTATATTTCATTGTCATTTTAGCTTCATTAACTTGAATATATATATCTTTGTAATTTGCTTGTTAATACCAATTTGAGTGATTATTTTCAGTAATAGAAATCAAAAAGAATAATATAATTTTATGATGAAAATAATAAAATCTTCTTGTAAAAGCTTTTCATTATTTTTCGAACAAAAAATATTTCAATGTGAAAAAATAAATATTTTATTTCATTATAAATAGAAGCATTTTAATTTTATAAAGTTTGTATTTATGCATAATAAAAAATTTGAAGTTTAGCAGCAACTAAAAAACAATGGATAGAAACTCAAAACTTCATGCATAATTTAAGATTGCACATGGCTCAATAACTGCTAATGGATATAAATAATAAATCTTAACATAATAATAATAATAATAATAATAATAACAAGTATTTCAGAATATTTTTACATGAATAAGAAATTTTAATTTTAATTTCAAATATAATTTTAGTGAATCATTTTCAAATTTATTAAATAGAATATGAATAATTTGCCAAAACAATCAGTACGCTTTTCATGTCAAATGAATTTGTTACTAATATGCCAGATACTTTTTTTTTTAAAGTGAAAAAATAAATATGCAAACAATTTTAAGAGTGTTTCAAATGATGATTGACAGATTTAAAATATTTTCCAGCAGGTAATCACTCTTTTAGTTATACATTCTGAAATTCTTATTGTCTTTAATATTTTTGTAAAATTTAAGTAAAATAAATAACTAAAAATATGCCTTAATTTGATTCTTTTTCACTTGATTATTTATCCTTTTGCCAAAGAGTATCTAAAGTTTTTATATTTCATGAAAATATATTATTAAACTTTTATTTCACTCATAGAAATTCAATTGTAAATTTACTATATGTTAATATTTATATTTAATATTTAAAAAAAAAGCTATAATACTATAAATATAAAGCTAAAATATCCTGCATTCTTATAATATTGCAAAATCCTTTTCCGAATATGCAACAAAATACTGAATATAAAGCTAATCTTAACAAATACACTTTACAGTCAACTACAATATTTACTTTAATTAATTAATGTTATTCTAGTCAATAAATAATAAACTAAGTAATTAATCATAATATATATTTGTAAAAAATATGCATAAAATTTTATTAAATTAACTTTAGACAGTATCATAGCTTGTTATTAAAAAATAAACTAAATAATTCTTTTGTTTTTTTTGTTACTTTTTGAAAGTTAAACAATATTGCGTTTACTTTACTAAATATTCGTTAAAACTTTGATAAAAAGTATGCACATACGTCATTATTTGAATTTGAAAGATAAAAACTTTTTTCTATCATCATACTTCATGCAAGTTAATTGAAGTTGAAAGTTGAATGCTTAAATGAATTAAGCAAAATATGCTTCCTTTATTTGTACTACCAACTAAGTAACTAAACTTATTAAATCAGCAAGTAAGTAAGTAAGTAAGTAACTAACTAACTAAGCAAGCAAGTATATAAATAAATGAATTAATAAATAACTTTCTACATTCTTCTTCTATTCACCTTTATGTCCTATTTTGAGTAATAAATTTAGTATAAAGTAAATGCTTACATATTCCATCGTAGAAGTAAAAAAAAATTGAAAAAATAATTTTTATTTATTTTTTACTTAACACTTCAGCGTAGCGTAGCACAACAAATGATAATATAGCTTCAAGCATCTTGCAAACTGAATTCATTGCTACATCATTTACATGCTTGCTTGTCAATTTCTGCATTTCTTATAGTTTTATCCAAGCTTTTGCATTTTTATATCTATACAAATTGAAATTAAGCATTGAATTCATTTTACAAATCATAAATTAATTTATTAATTTATTACTAATAATAATATTTTTACATAATAATATAATTTTCATTACTTTTTAACAATTCTTTTTTATAAAAAAAAAAAAAAACTTTATATATTCGTTTTTGTTATTTTTTTCCAAACATTATTTTTTAGTTTATAAAAAAAGATCAAAGTTTAACACAAAAGCAAATAAGGAAATGAAGAAAAGAGTGTAGCACTTTGTATTCAAATAATAAATACTGGTAATGGCAATAATTTGGCTAAACTATGCGCAGCTTCAATTCAATTCAATTCATTTCAATTCATTTCAATTCAATTCAATTCAGTTCAATTCAGTTCAATTCAATTCACTCACACCACTGTGCTGGATCATTTATTGCAATCGGATTTCTTTGTAAATAAATTTAGTCTAAGATTAAAAAAAAAGAGAAGAAAAAGCAATTATTATCACATGTTTATTTGTTTTGTTTTTTTTTTCATATTTTATTTTTTTACAAACTTTTTAAAAATTGAAATTTCTCATTTCAATTCAAGCTAAGCACAGATTACTCAATTGCTATTATTGATTAAAATAGATAAAAAATATGAAAATTTGAATTTTTGTATTACTTTTATTTATCTGCAATTTTCTTCAATTTAACTTTGCTTGTCCACCTCATCAATTTGAAGCATTTGCTAACAGCAAACGTTGTCATCTTCTATCCTTGATCAACTAGTGCTAAATTCAATTGCTTTCCTTTATAAAAGTTTTTAGCTTACAAATTACTTGCTTTTTTTACAATTTCAAATATAGTAAATGTGCAAATATGCATGAAATTTTGTTAACTTCGTGTTTAGTTTACTCATTTTAATTATTGTGTTGAAAATATTATCCTAAAAAAGTATTATGTTGTTTGTATTTTAAACTTTGAAATATATCAAGCAATATTATGCATCATTACAATTTAATAATTATCACTTCTATAGTTTGCATAATTACATGTAATTTATCTCATATTAGTCATTTATTTAAGACATAAATAAAATATTAAATTAATATGTTCTTTAACATTTATAAATCTTATCATTTGAAACTTTAAAATAGATCACTGATATGTTTTAGCACAAAATGTTTAAACAAATTAATCTAACACTAAACAAGAAAGCAAAAAAAAAAAAAAGAAAGTTTATATAAGTTTTTGATTAATATTAATTATACAGTTTACATTAATGTATAACTTTCTACAGCATACAATAAATGTAATTAAATTATGATTATTGAATAAATTTTTTAATAATTAACCAATATGTGAATGCTTTATTTAGAAGAAAATTGATTCATTTCAAATGATATAATAAATGAGTTAATTTGAGTCTATGTAAAGTAATTTTAAGTAATTTTGTTTGTGTATGTGTTAGTAGTCAATGATTAAAAAAATAAAGAAAAAGCTGTAATATGTTAAAATTTACCATTTGTGTAATCGTTTTATTCATTTGTTTTGAAATGAATCTGAAGAAGACTTATACAGCTTCTGAAGAGCATTTTATTAGATTGATAAACTTGACATATAAGAAAGACATAAATTGCAAATGCTTACTTCATCCTTTTACCAATTTTTAAGCATAGAAGTTGCTTTTAACGCTATTTTATTTGCTTTTTTTGACACTAATGAAAAATCAAAAATGAAGAAAAAATTTTGCTAATAATATTATATTGTAATCTAATAATTTCTCTACTTAGTCTCATATTTATATTTGGCAGACAGCAAAAAAAGTTTAATAATTGCTAAGACTATCTATGATAAGATTACATTTTTTAGCGCAAAAAATTTGAGATAAGCTTGTTATTTTTATTTTTATTCTATAATTGTACATTAATTAAATAGTGTTTTATTTGCTGAATAATTATTTGTGTTATTTACGTATTAATGATGATTTTAGTATGAATTGAAGTACTTTTATTGTAATTTATTTTTGAAACGTTGATTATACAATGTTTAAAATGATATGTAAATAAAAAAATACAACTATAATATTTTCAGATCAATAATCACTGAGATTAAAGTGTAATGTAATCATATCTAACAGCCATTAACAATAATGATTATTCCAAGTCTCATTTTTACAATTACATGTAACAGCTTTGATATTAATTACACATTATGCAAAATTATTTATGAAGTAAAATTTAGTTTTGTAAAGTAATTAAGCAACAAAAAGTTTGACTAATTTTCATAAATTAATTAATAATTGATTTTGTTTTTAAATTAAATTTGTAAAAAACTTTTTACAATTTTTTGTTGGTCAATAATTATTAATATAATTCCTTATAGACATGCATCTATCTATTCACTTATTTAATTAATTCTCAAAGTATGTAATAATAAGGAATTAAATGACAATACATTTGCAGATTATGCAAAAGTATTTTGCATAGATGCTTTTCTTGGTAGTGATTGCGTAGAACCATGCATTAGTGAAATGCAATTTATTATGGAAAGTACACCATTCAGTCGTAGCGACCATAAAGGTCAACTGTCATGGACACAACTTTTACAGGTAAAAATTAGCTGAGATAAAAAATGATTAAAATTAGTAACATTCATATTGGTTAATTAATTCAGCTCAGATTATATTAAATATAATCAATTCTAATCTTATAACGCTCTTGACATTGAATAAAAATGATAAGTATTTATAGTTAAATTCTGTCGCAACATCATTTCTGCTAAAAGGCCTGCATTTAGCTGATATGTTTAGGAAATTGATAAAATTATTGCTAAAAAAATGAAACCAGTATTGCAAATATTCTCAATTTTTAAATATTTAAGTATAAAAGTTTATTCAGCGCATTTAGACATTTTAGTTTCGTAGTTTATTCAATATTATTCAATTATTTATTAATTGCAAGTTTGATAAATCTTTAGAATAATTTATTTGCTAGCCAAATGATAATCATTTGTAACAATAAACAAATACAGAACATGAATATAAATTTGAACATTTTATTTTCAGTCAAAATAGCTACTACTTTTACAAACAATATTATTATTAGATTGCTAAGCAAAAATTGAAGACTATTTGGTGTTAACCTACTCAAAAAATAAATATGCACAATAAATATTTTTATAGACTAAAATATTAAATTTTAGAAAATAAATTAATAATCATACTAACAAAGATAATTTAGTCAATCTTCAAATTATTAAAATTGATCACTGATAATCACAAATTACAAAAGCAATAAAATATTGCAAGCAGAATGCTTCAGCTTTTTGTTTTCACACTTTTTATAATACCAAAAAATGTTCTAGACATCAAGAAATCGGCAAATGACTGAAAATTCTTTTCGAAGTATTTGTGAGTAAGTCTAATTTTAGCTTTCAAATTATTCAAAATTATGATTGTTATACAAAACTTTTCTCATTAATGTAAGGTGATTTTCTTTGTTCCATATTCAAATTACTTTTTTATATATACTTATTCCATTGTTAATTCATTTATACATACATACATTATTCACAACCATTTTTTGATAAAGATTCTGATTGTTTTTAGAGCATATAGACGAGTTGATAAATGCTTGCAAGACTGTGAAAACACATCTGAATATAGTGCTAGTATTCGTCAAACCTATGCTGGTTTACGTTTTATATGCATTGAACATAGTGAAGGTTAGCTATTAATAATTATAAACATTTGATATTATATACAATTAAAACAAAAAAAAAATCTTTTCAGTCTTGAAAATTAAAATTCAGCTTATATACAGTACTTACTGCAATATAATATTTTACATAATTTTTTCAATACTGCAATGATAAAATATCAAAGTCATCTTCCCATTGGTTATTTATGGAATATACAAACTGATATCTTACGAAAAATTATGTATAGAAGTTAGCGGAAGAAAACTTTGTTTCATGCTAAGTATAAAAATTTGTATAAGTTATAAGCAGATGAATTATTCTTCTCTTGGGAATTCCTATCTCAAAGATTCAGTATATATCTGCTTCAAATATATGAATCAAGAAATGCCTTTTGCATATCTCATAAAGATTAAATGAATATACGCAAGTATTTTTAAAACTAGACCATAAAAATATTAACATACAAGTTAAAGTCCAGACAGATTGCTAAATAATCTGCAAACATTCTTACATTAATAAAAATTAGATTACATCTACTTTTAATTTCTCAACTTTGCAATATAACGGCAATTCACGAATGTAACAAACTGATTCATATCGTTGAAGTACGAATAAATCTGTGCAACCTTACTCTTCTAATACTAACTTTGAATAAATTTTATTGTCAAAAAAGTGAACAAATTGGCAGTATCACTTGCATGCATAAGTGCAGTGGATCGTAACACCTTTATTTTCAGAATTCTTCAGTAATCTGCCATGCCTCGCTCAGTAAGTCTTTACAGTTAACTTTAAAAAATAATTCTCGAATAAACAGCGCCAATATTCTTTAAATATAGTTAACGGTAACCATCACTATAACTCTACCAAGTTTTAGGTACGAACCTGTAGCAATGTCTAGATGTCAAAACGAAATCAATCAATCACTGGAGAGTAGCAATTCATTTAGCGCAGCCGTTATTAATCGTGAACAGCATAATATTCGCAGCAAATTCAGTATATTGTGCAAGTATTATTTAATAATACTTTTTAATAATTTTGGCCAAAAAAAATATTATTTAATATAATATTGTTTTTTGGCTAAAATTGTTCACAATTGCAACAATAAACTCGGGAATACAAACATTCTATCATTTAAATAGCAACATCTTATAATTTGTGGTACGCACAAAAAAAATTTGACAATATGAGAAAAAGAATTGGAAAAATTTGTTCATCTACTATTAGCATTTCATTTATTTAAGTGTTTATACTGCGAGAGAAACTATCAAGAATCAAAACTACTATTATATTCAATTTTTTAACAATCAAACAGATTAAGAACAGTGAACAATAATCAAACACACATTGTGCCAAAGAAAAATGAAAAAATGAACTGGGGTACCAAATGGGTAATAAAATATTTCAGTATTGCTATAAGGAATCTAACAATACAATGATAATGCATCAAAATTTATTGTAGAGACCTGACAAATACTATCAGATGTATTGAACCAGTTACGCGTAATGGATGTGGTGAGGATGCAGCTAAAATGATGCTCAAGTTTATTAGCGTTGGCTTTACAAGGTAAGCCTACAAAAGTACCGCTTTATAGTAGAATCAAAAAATTTTCAAAAACAAATTACGTAGAAAATGTCTTTTTAAGCAAGTCGTTTTGGATACTAACAAAACTTTTATTTCAGAAGATACAAAAAAAATTTGTTTTATACAATATTTTCTTAATTTAGTTCATATATTGCTATATTTGAGCATAAATTACTCATATGATTTTTTGGTCTTCATCATAGATACTGAAACAAAATGTAATTAAACAAATTAATAGATATTTACTCAGATTTAGAAAACTTCCAGTTTTCTAAAGTTACGCATTTCTAATTCTGTAGTTGCTAACACTAAGCTCAGTTGTATAAAACTGATTCTCGATGAAAACTAAATTCGACATATACAAAAAACTGCATGCTATATTGCATACTACTTTAGTTTTGAGCAGTTATACAACCATCTCGGTATCACCGATCGGCTGCCCCATTCGTGTCGTCAATTACTCAATTTGACTATTAGAAGTCTAACTAATAATGACAGACGATTCACTTCACAATCGCGCCATTCCTATCCCGAAATTCAAATTATTTCTGACAATGCTTCAGGCTTCATTCCAAGCATCATCTTTTCATTGCTCAGCTTTTCACTTTCTTCCATTTAACTTATTCTCAAGTGCTTTAACTGGATGAATTCCACAAACAGATTAATCAAAAAATTTAAAGAAACACTTCTAAACTCGTTTATTGCTTGGAAAAATTTTAAACTCAGATAGTGTACTTACACACTGTAGCTCACATAATTCTTGTAAGCTTTTTTACTGATTTTTAAAAGCATTGCACCAAGCTGTTTTCCGGGTCCGATTTCCATGAACGTAGGAAATGCATAGTTCTGAAATGCAATACAGAGAGATATTTGGCACTGTTGACAGAAATTCCAGATGACCCATTACTTTCATTTATCTTAAAACAGTGTACATTATTCAGAGCATGAAACTTTCTGACTAATACTCGAAAGTTGAATGTATCCGTCTACAAATAATGTTCACAGAAAAGATTAATGATTATTACACTTAAAATCTAGAAAAAATGTTCACTTGATGCTTGGCATGAAGTAACTGTTGGATTTGCTCCCATTTTACTGGTGAATAAACTTGTTTAGTCATTGCTTCACGTATATGCCTTTCATTGTATACATGCAATTTGCCCGTATAATTTGAGTAAACATTTACTTGAGGCTGCTGATTAATTTTTATGTCTAAAAATTAAGTTAAAAAGTTTATTAAATAAAAGAAACTTCTGGAAAATCAAATACATTTCCCAAAAAAAGTACTGAATTATAAACTCTCATTAAAAATAAATGACATATAACAGCGCACAAAAAAAGTAACCACACCTAGGAAGTCTTACCAATATTATTTAGAAGACTTGGGTTTTTTAACAATATTAATATATCTTGCGATTACATATAACGTATGATCATATTTAAAAAGCGAAAAAATTTTTAAATCTGTAAGACTTAAAAACCTTTAAGAGCATTTTTTAAAGTTAGAGCAGCGTCCTTCATCAAACTGGTGTGAAATGCGCCATTTACAGCCAACTTTTTAACAATCTAAATTAGAGAAAAAGAACTACCAATGAAATTAAGAGTGTGGAAAATAGCGCTTGAATAATCTGTAATACAGAGTACCCATTTGTCATAATAAATAATACCTGGAATCTATATTTTTCTTGATTGTTCTCAAGAAACTGCATGGAAGTCTCGGATGCTCCGACCACTTTGACACCACAAAACAAATAATTGGCTATTTCACAAATTGGCAACTCACCTTTCTCCCTAAAATCGCATGCCTAAACAATGAACACTTAAGCATATTGGAACCTATGTTTTCCTGTTTATATGAGTTTTAGTTCGTTAAATCTACATCACTTTTTTTATCTACACCATTAATATATACAGAGCTTAACTAACCAACAATGCTCCTTAGCGTCATCTAGGGCTTCTTCCAACCGCGAAGCCGCATTTACTCGCACTGTTATCATACCGGAAGGAAGTTTCATACTACTTTGGTGCATTGCATCTGCTCTAACTTTCACTAATTGAACGGCTACAAAAACAGTTTCAAACTGCATCAAAAAGTTTCATCTTGACTTGAATTCAGAGTTAAATACGCTTAACAGATCATGTTTGCTTCAATATTAGAAAGCAGTAGTAAACTCATATATACACATAAATGAGGATTTGTCCAAGTAACTAAAAGTTCTATTTTTTATATACAGTTTATATAAATGAGCAAAAGGCTTTATAGACGTGGATTACACATATTACAGGATCGAAAATAGCAAAATGCATTATTAGAATATATTTGCTTTTCAATTCTGAAACTGACCATCTTGAAAAGAAAGTATTCCGGACAAAACAAAAGCAGCAAATTCCCCAATACTAAAACCAGCAACATCGGTTGTGTGACTACTTAATGTCTCATTTTCTAACTTGGCTTTTTCCCAAGCAGCGACTGAGGTAACGAAAACAGCAGGCTGACAGTAAATAGTCTGGTCAAGTTTTGATTTTGGACCTGAACACAATAAATTTTTAGATATTGTACAAGAATTCATCTTTCTTGAAGTCTGAGAAAGTTGCATTTTTGACTTTGAAGACAGAAACTAAGAGATATTTGAAACTGAAGAAACTTATGCGAAATTATGAACCTTGAGAGTAGGATATCCAAACTTTGAATAACACTGAACCATCATTATGTGGTACTTTTAGATCGATTTTTTAGTAAATAAAGGATTACCTTCCAAACACAACTTCAACAAATCATACTGCAATATTTCTGAAGCTTCATTGTATATATCAATCACCTTTGGGCAGTCTTTGATCTAAATATAGAACCTAATTTTGTACGAATTATAAGTTGAAAAACTCTGACTAACAAGAATTTTACTTCACAAATTCTCTTTCTAACAAATGAGACTCACTTTTTCACCCATACCAATGTGTTGAGCTCCCTGTCCAGGAAATAAAACAACCACTTGCTTTTCGATAGGTATATGACTAAAATCAAGTTTCGCACTAGCCTTAGTTTTGCGACGAGCTCCATCCTTTATATTCTCTTTTTCTGATATAGTATTTTTTGCTAAGAATCGATGCAGCTCCTGAAGAAAAATGCAATAAAGTAAGTAATTTACTGAACAAGTTGAAAACATATTGTGGAAATCAAGTTACAGGATTTTGTAGTAAACTGCAATGAACTGGAATAGGAATAACGTTTAGAAAGTGTCTTCAGAAGTAATGCACCAGAAATTAAACTATGAAAGTTAAGAATTTAATCAGTCAAGGAAATAGTGAGCAAACCGCAAACTCTCTAAGCCCAAAATCAAAACAAACCATGACTAAACTAATTCAAAATATAGAAATTAACCTTTTCAGGGTAAGGCAATGAAGTACATGGATCAACAAAAGCAGCTCGCACATCAGCATGAGTTACAGCATCATCTAACCATTCAACAGGTCCACCAATCTTAGCACTTAAATCCCTTCTAGTGAACTGTGTTTGCTTGAGAAAAGCCAAGATATGTCTCCTAACAAACGCCATTCTAGACCTAGAAAGAATAACACAATTACATATCAAAATTTAGCAGCAACTGTCAGCACAAATAGTCATTTGAAACTCAGAGAACACTAGAAACTGCATACACACCACACATTTTCCCCCAACAATTTAGAAAACATTTAATCTAAACAACCACAACATAGTCTTTATTGACTCAATCACTTCTCAAATATCTCTAAAAAATAAAGTAACATATTACGTTACTGCATGAAATGACTTTTTTGATTGCTTTTACTTCAAAATATGTTCAAACACTTCATAAAATTTGCTTGTGAAACACAGAAATAAGTAATATTATTATGATCAAAACTATGGAAAACTAAATGCATATAATAACCAGAATTATAAAACACAAATTAAGTATTCTTCTATGAAAGTACCAAACTTTACAAAATCTGTTGATAGGCAAACTAGTACAACATCCACAATTTATATTTACAAAGGCACATTTCGCAAGTCACATTTCAAAATATAAATAAAATATTCTTACAGGACATTGTAAGAATCTTTCAGATGTCAAATGTTAAGTAGAAATACATAAATGTTAATTTAATTCATGAGCAATTACGTAAATCCAAGAATAATCTAGTCTCAAAATACAAGCAAAAAAATCTAGCTATGTATGAAAATTACAATTCTAAGATCCAACTGAAAATTACAACATAATTACGATAAAATTTAATATTTTAGTACATGACGTTTACCCGAGGTCACTAATAGTAAGCTTAATTCTACTGATTATATACAAAAAATATACAAAGAAATATTTGATCTGAAACTGAGCTGAAGGACTAAAACAAAGAGTTAATTTTCTGCTAAAGAAAATGAATTACAAACATTTTTGCCACAAAAATAGAATGATTACAATTACTTTCCAATTATATGTTCAAAACATTTATGTATATATCTTTTAATATTAAATTTTCAGTTTCATCAGTTTACCAAAAAGAAAAACGATGGAACTGAGAAAATATAAGGCCAGTAGTTGAAATCGCATCATCAATGCCAACTGTTTTGGATGGAACTTTGCATATAAGTGCTGGAGTATATATAAACACAACTTCATTACGCATCCACGACGCTATGGGTCTTAAAATGAAGGATATACCTTACGTGAAGATATGTTACATAAGAAATACTATGATATCGAAAAGCTTTAAAGATATCAAAAAACTGAAATCTTCATCAAGTTTTAATTATTTAAGCCAAAAGTTTTTAATCATTTCTAAACAAATACTCAAAATACTGAAGTATGGGAATAAAGTCTAAAAAAAATACTTTTGAGGTTCAAAAACGTATTCCTTCCCAACTTCTTTATCTAGTAAATGAGACATTGACACCCTCAGCTCCAAATCATCTGTATTCATGTCGTTTGTAATTTTGCAAGACTGACGAGCTGCAACTCTAGCCCCCGCAGCTAAGCCAGCAGCAAGATTCGACCAATCTGTTCCTTTGTACACCTTTGAAACAAATATGTCGATTTGCGAACAAATTTCATAGGACATAACCAAATTTCAGTGAACAATCAACAGAATGACGGAAGTGGTATGACTTACCATTAAATGAAAAGTCAAAGAGTGAAAATGTATTCTTGACAATCTGTACTTGTAATTTTTCGATTCAGGAGAACTGCCATCATGTCCAAATTTCGTGAGTAGCCAGTAGAGCATTTCAACCATCTTCAAGTAAAATGAATTTCTTTTTTCACTAGTAAAATGCCGATTTAAATAACGAAAGACCAGTTTACCTTGTGTACATGTACCGCACCAGGAGATACTGGATAAAGGTCTGTATAAGGTCCACCAGCAACATTTGATAGAAATGCTAGCTCTTGTTCGTTTAATCCCAAAGAATCAACATATGGGATTATCTAAACAAAATTATAAGAACTTAGAACTCATAAACAAATAAAAACAAAAGAGATTACGCGCTTTCACACTAGCTGCTAGAAATGAAAAGTAGTAGGCAAAAAAAAAATAGTGTATTAATAATCTACAGAGTAGTGTAATCCCTGATATTAAACAAGCCTATATGGTCCTTTTTAAAATACCTATGTTAAATTAAAGAATAAAAGAATGTTCGAGAAACGACTATTAACATTAAATTAGTGAAAAACAATAAGAAACTTTTTAATATAATTATTATAAAAAAGATGAGATTCGTTAGAAACTAACTCTATTTAGAACTTCAGCGACGTGATCAGGATTACCCATATTTCCCAATTCAAGATGAATGGGAACATTACGACTTACTTGCAATAAATTTCGCTTAATTAAACGAAGTTTCTCCATTCTCATTTCTTTATTCTAAAATCGCAAATTATTTCTTAAAAAAAAATTAAGAAAACAGCAAAAATGAATTCAAAGTCAGAATCTTGCTGACAAAACTTGAAATTATTAAATGACAATTAAACATGTACATTTGAAATATCTAATCATTGAAAAATGTATATTTTCAAGTACCTGGTTTTGTAGTAAATGAACACCAGTTAAAATGACCAAATCAGGATTAGACTGACTGATTGCTTTGAAAAACATTTCAATCACCACTGAACTGCCACTAAAAATATTAAAAAATATATTAATCATGTGAAGTGTATACTATGATAATGGAATGATGAGTCTTTGAAATATCCAACGATTTTAAAAATTTTTAAGCACAATACACAAAAAGCATACACAAAGTTTTGCATTAGTGCTAAACACACCTATATTGATCATGTGAAGTAATGAAACGAGATGAAGCTGATGCTACATATTCCCCTAAAATTTCACCCTGCTTGTATTCCATGATGATATGCAACTCATCTTTTACGATACGAGTTGAATTAGTACGCACAATTGATGGATGGAGTAAAGCCTGGCTTCGAGGTCCAATAGGACCAACTAAATAGGCCTAAAAATGATGTTCTCTGAAATCAGCAAATCTCATCGCTATGTCTAAATTTTGCACTTGCTAATGAGGAAATAAGAATAATAAAAACTAAACTCTGAGCACTTTATAATGATAGAGGGGAAATTTTTACACTAGAAAAATAGAGTAATTCATTTTTGGCATTACACTTTGATTTTCACACGCTAAAAGTGCTGAAATTTATAACTTACAGTGGTTCTTGGAAAAGCAGTAGCTATCTTTTCAGCCATTAAGGCAGCATTTCCACCAATGTAATAGTGAGGCCTTTGACGAGGTTCACTGGCAAACTGTACTAGAGCATCAAAGAGTTTTGAATCTGACATATACCTGAAGAAGTAGACAAGGATTGCAGCCGTTATTTTATAAGTAGAAACTATACAAACTGACTTCTCATCACACACTGATCGCATTGTAAAAATTTACGGTCTATAAGACTGAGAATGAAGAAAATGAAGCAGTTAAAGCAAAGAACAGCAGAAGCAGTACTACAATTTGAATCTTTCATTACTAGCAATTAGTTTGTATGTTATTTTTTAATTACTTAATTGAAGAAAGGTAAGATAGGTAGGTGCTTCGTGAGTAGCAAGATCAGTTTTTCTTATTATTAATCATCAATTAATGACAGGATTACAGACAGGCTAGACAAGTTATTTTGAAAGCCTACCTTTCTGCAGCAGCACCTCGCGAAAAGAAATATGCAAAAGCTTCATATAAGTCATTGACATTGCTGATTACCTGAAAAAATAAAATTTCACCTTAACAAAAAACTAATTGCTTTCCTGTTTTGCTGAAAGCAGAAAATATGGGGAAGACAATGTATTACAGTCTTTAAACAATGAAAGGAATATGATTTGGTTATTAATACAGAGGTTCCCGACACCAGAAGTAAAATACAACACGCAACTCAGTTCTCATATCGAAATTACTGTTTTTATAAAACAATAATATGCATTCCAGGTTCAAAGTTACTGAAACCTAAAACTAAAAAGTGACGAAAAATCCTAAAATCTGACAACCTCATGATCCTTTCTAAGGGTTGGAGTAGCATTCAAGCTTTCCAACAGACTTGTGCCAGTAACAACCATATCAACATTACAATTAATCCTAAAAACTCTGCATAAACTGACTAGCAAAAATATAACAGTCGAGTATGAAATGACTTGTAGAAAACTTGAACTAATCTAATCCACTGACTACTTCATCACTAATAAGATTTCTAATCCATTTGAAAGCGTTGCCAATATTATTACGAAAATTACAAAAACAAACCCTATCACTGCCCGTCGAAAAAGTATAGACGGTTGAGCAATAACTTTGTCCCACGCTAACATCACAGTCTGTTCAACTGAGTATGACTGTATTCGATGTTTTTCATTGAAAAAGCTATAAAGCCACGGAACTACGCCAAATATCAATGACAAGTGCAGTAATCGATTGTAAGGTGCGTTCCACCACAACATTATCTTTAAATAATTATTACTAAGTCACTCAATTCGTTTCCAATGTCTTACAACTTTCAAGAAAGAAATTCAGATGTTCAAAGGCGATCGAATACTGCCCTTAGTTCTGATCGTAAACGATAACTGGCGTTCTGTTAGCGGTAAATACGCCTTGATATGCACGTTCCCGGAAACGATGGTTCTTTAGTTCTGGGAGAATTATGGTTGCAAACTTACAGCAATTGAGGGAAGAGTAACACAAGGAGTGGAGCCTGCCGCTTAATTTTACTCAACACGGGATAACTCACTTGCCCGAACACGTGAGGATTGACATATTGAAAGCTCTTTCATGATTCGGTGGTTGGTGGTGCATGGCCGTTCTTAGATGTAGATTGATTTGTCTGCTTTATTCTGATAACGAACGAAACTGTAGCCAACAAAGCACTTTGTGAAGGAACAGTGTATTCGTACGCTAGTCCAGACAACTTCTTAGAGGGACAAGCGGTGTTTAGCCGCATGAAGTTGAGCAATAACAGGTCTGTGATGCCCTTAGATGTCCACGGCTGCACACGCGCTACACTGAAGGAAACAGCGCACTGTAACCATTGCTGAAAGGTTATGGTAACCCCTTGAAAATCCTCTGTAAATCGGGATCGGGAATTGCACTTATTTCTTTGAACATCAATTCCTAGTAAGTGAGAGTCGTGATTACGCCTGGAACTGACTGGTTTCAAAAAAGCGGGAACTGCTGTTTCAATACCTTCAAATTTCGTAGAAAGGAGATTCTTTGGTGGATCAGTCAGCAGCCGTTTAGCTATCAGACTAGATGGTATGTTAGCTAGCAGTATATTTACTATCCTCATTTATTATAGTGATATTATAATGTGATATTTGTTTATTTTGCTGGCTTACATGTACGCATAATTTACTGTGTAGTATTATAAATGTGTATAATATAGCAAGCAGTAGCGATGGCGAAATAAAATAAGGCAAATATTTGTAGATGAAACTAAATTGTGATGGTAATGATGTGTTATAATTACTATTGTTATTGTTATTATTATACGTTATGTTATGTATATTTGGCCTCACTTCAAATTTTCAACCCTTACATATCAGGTTTCTAAAAGCATGTATCTGACAGTTGCAGAATGGTGAGTTCTTTCAGATTGCTCATCTGTAGAAATCAAACAAGTCCAACATTGCTATTTGGAATTTAGTGATGGTACTTATTCGCATACATATTAGATTAATAAATTGCATTATGATCGCAGTTAATTCTCTGCCACTTTTGTAAGATCTCAGTTTTGTTTGGTTGCATAGGTATGCCGTTTCTTTCTTCTAACTATTAGTTATCCATTCAGGGAAAAAATTTCATCCTAACAAATTCTTCTACGACTACCCAAATTTATAAAATTTGTGTTTTTAATGTCACACATCAGATTATCAGGTAGTTAATTAAAGATGGTACTTTAATTGTTCAAATGGCAGTGAAATTGAATATTAAAATTAAACGTATGAGCCCCGTTTAAAGTCAAGAATGCCAGATTTGAGCTGTTCAGAAGATGGTTCTACAGGAACTTGATTGAGGAAAAGACTGTAAGCCATACGAAAGTAATTAGTAGAGAGAAAAATAGCAATTGCATATCTTAAACAAAGTAAGCATAAAACATTGACTGATCAAAAAATGAAGAAAAGAAAATAAGCGACATTTACGTTTAATTAATAAATTAGTTCTGGATTAAATAGACTTATTTTTTCGTGAAATTATTATTTATTTGTATTGTTATTCCTGAGCTGAAAATTAATGTTGTTTATTGAGTACGAAAGTGAACGTTTTGCATTAGTACTTCTTAAACTATGAAGGTAAATCATACAAACAGATATATCAAATATTGTTCAATAGATTTCGATTAATGCACTTAGACGTAGGCATATTATTTATTACACGTTTGTTTCCATCTGTCATGTTGTTCATAAAAGTAGAAAATAAAATTACAGTAACACCAGTAGAATACAATAATAAAATCACAGTAATCACATTTGTATGAGAGCATCATTTTCTTACTACATTGATGTTTTTTAATACTCAGTTTTTCGTAGCTTTTTAGGCTAAACTTCATGTCTCATTAAATTTAGTATTCAACGCACAAGAAAATGGAAAGATCTTAACTGCTGATGCAAATTGTTTTTCCAAAGTTTGGAAACATTGATGATTACTTTGTGATCTTTTCTTGCACTTCTAATTTTTTAAAATAATATTCATTACGTGAATATAAGGAAAAATGAATGGATACTGTCAATATATTCTCTCATATGTTATTCATTCAACTTACTCGGAATTGCTTGTACGGAACTTTTTAGTTCATATCATTTTATATCTTATTTTGATTAGCACTGACTTATTTAAGGTGGATTGAAATAATATCCTGGAATTTGAAATGGAAATAATTAGTGAAACTTCAATGATTCATAACATCATGATTTATTTATCAAGTCTGTGAAGGGAATTTGGCAGGCAAATTTATTTAGCAAAAATTCAGGGTTTATTTTACCTTGAAAGTCTAATGCAGGTTATTGCTGTCATTGTTTTCGAATTAACTAACCACAAAGATTTCTTGAAATACTTGATGAAAATAACAGAAAGAATAAACTCAAAATATAATCAGAAGCTTTAAAAAGGCATTTTCAGTTACTTCTGAAAAAAAGCAATAGAAGTTGCAACATCAGAACATTTCTTCAATTTCATCATTTTCGTAAGACACAAAAATTCAACATTTTGTCATTCCTGTAAGATGTATTTCATTCAGATTTTTGAGTTAAGTCGCTCTATTCGAAATAAAATATTTTGAGCGCAAAACTATTGTCACACAAAATAATCCAGAAATTTGCATTATCATTCAGTCCTCAAGTGTTCGTATAAGTCCATGATATAAATTCTGACATTTTTCTGCAAAAAACATCTGGCTAAAAATGCCTAAATTTTTTCCAGCACTATCAGATTTCACTTTTCATTATATTCAGCATTTTCCTAAATTCCAAAATCTTAATTTATGCAAAAATAGAACAAAAACAATTTCTAGCGTGTTTTGATTGTTATAACTGCAAATAAATTTATAGATTGTGAGTTTTAACCGTTTAATACGTAAGAAACGTTTAGCTTTTCAGTCTGCATCATTTCTTCCTAATATTTGAAATAAAATATTGCTACATCAATTCTATTTTAAAAGTAGAAAAAAGTTCGGTTATTGATTTGCCTCCAAGTCTTTTAAATTCAATTAGCTGAATATTACGAAATATTTATTAGAAAAATGATACGTACTGAAGAGCTTTAAAAGAGTAATAGTTGTAGTTAAAATTATATAAGGTGAATATAAATTATATAAGGTATATATATATATATATATATATATATATATATATAT